CAGAAAAACAGAAAATATCCAGCAGTTGTGTGGACGAAAATGCCTTGTTGATGTCAGAGGTCAAACGACAATGGGCAGACTGGTCGCTGCGACATTCAGATGGTAGGGTTAGAATTTGGTGTAAACAACATGAAAGCGTGGATCCATCCTGCTTTGTATCAACAGTTCAGGCTGGTGGTGGTGGTGTGATGGTGTAGGGAATATTTTCTTGGCACTAGCAAGGTGTACCTAATAAAGTGGACGTTGATTTTATATATATATATATATATATATATATATATATATACCTCTGCCTCTGATTATATATATACCTCTGCCTCCCATACTCTAAAGACATGCTGGTAGGTTAAATGGATCCTGTCTAAATTGGCCCTAATATGTGTATGTATGAATGTATCTTAGACAACTTAGATTGTACACCCCTTGAGGGTTAGGGATTGATGTGAATGTATAATATATATGTAAAGCGCTGCATAAAGCACTATACCAGTACCTGTATTAAATGAATAAATATTTGTATATATCTATATACACCACCACAACAGTTTGTTTACTTTTTTAAAAGCGGGGTTGTAAGCTACATTATAGAAGCTTCTATGGTGTCTTTTCATGTGCTTTCCCCTCTTCTGAGCCCCACACCCCCTAGCCCCCCTACTGCAAAGTGCCATGGGTCACCTAGATCTTCTGGAAGCTTGGAACTGGGATGGTGGGTGGGAAGACAGATGTTCCTCAATCTCTCCTGTGAACTCTAAACCCAGAAACTTTCAGCCCTGAGTACATCTGGGTACGAAGCTGTCACTTCCCAGCTAGGAAAGCTGGGTGAAGCAGTAGACAGAAGATTCAGTGTCATCGATTAGTTTTGCCTAAGCGCAGGGAAGACATTAGGGATCCAAAAGACGTACCTGTCACACAAAAAGTTTTATACCATTGGGGCTTATCAGCCCCCTTGTGATAGCAATACAGTTTAGTGAAAAAAATTTTTTTTTTAAAAGTGCAAAAGAAGAAAAAATGTATTATAAAATAAATAAACACAATGTTCAAGCCCCCCTTCCCCTTGTATACACACATATGCATACACAATGATTGAGCAACTCACATTGAAAATGAGAATATTATTTCTCCGGCTATTATTCCTGGTTAACTCTAAGTTGGTGACTTATGAGGGCTTTTAAAGTGTTGTCCATGGGCAATATTGGGTATCATTTGTCGCTGTGTCGCAGGTGCACACAGTTTTGAGTCATAACATGTTTGGTATCTATTGACTCGTTTTTTTAATAGCCTATTTCCAGACTTCTTTCTCTTTAAATTATTTGTTTGGGAAAGTTCATTAGGAAATGCAGTACATTCGGTTTATACAATGCTGACAGCGGACACAAACCTGAAGTTAAGCCTTAATATTTTAAAAACAATTTTGCAGATTTTGTTTGCATGCAATGATATTATGTGAGTGTATATTTCTAAAAAACAGAGATTTGATAAACAGTTGTGCTAAAGTCATGCAGCATTAAAATTTTAACATCTATATTTTTTTTCTATGGGTTCTCTGCTTTCAGAAAGTATATAACGTTTTCATTATTTTGCAATGCATTTTAGCATGTATGCAAAGAATTAAAAAAAAAGTGGTCCTGTCAGTGAGTATCTAAGCTTTATATATAAATGCTTTAAACAAAATGCACAGCACATCCCACCAAAAGGTCATATAAAGCTTTTCAGAAGTTTATTTGACTTTAATGTTTTTCTCTCCAATTAGCTGGGTTATCAGAGAAGATTGAGCAGTTTTCCTCTTGTAGTTTTAAATAACAAGTCATTTATAGAAGAAACATCAGAATGAAGGTTTCAGGCCCAGTTGTCATTAGGAATCAGCAGGTGACTCAGTTATGTAGACAGCTGGCCCATGAAATGATTGATAGATGAGTAAAAGAGGTATGGCATGCTACCCAAAAAGGCATTTTTTTGTTATGAAACAATTGGAGCCAAATTTACTTTACAAATAAACTGTCGCTCGATGCGTGCCTTGAAGCCTCGTTATCTTTTCTTTACATTGCTCCTGGAAAGATATTGGTAGTATACCCATTGTAGACTTTTCAGCTGCTATATTTAATCATATAGTGGAACTCAGTATTGTTCAAGTGCTGCTTGGCAGCTGTAAGGATACATTTTATCATATTAAAGCCTTTTTAAGATGCAGATGTGTTGCTTAAATAGAGTAAATCCATGCTCAGTTTAGCCACTTTCCCCCCTTCCTGACCAGGCCACTTTTTGCGTTACGGCACTGCATTACTTTAACTGACAATTGTGGGGTCATGCAACACTGAACCAAAATTAAATTTATGTCCTTTTTTTGCCACAAATTGATCTTTTTTCTGTGGTATTTGATTGCCTGTGCATTTGTTATTTTTTTGGCGCTATAAAAAAAAGACCGACAATTTTGAGGAAAAAAAAAACAATATTTGTGACTTTTTGCTATTAAACATGTCCTGGAAAAAAATATAAAAAATCTAATTTTGTCATAAATTTAGACCACAATGTATTCTGCTACATGTGTTTGCTAAAAAAAATCCTAATACGTGTAAATGAATTGGTTTACGTGAAACTTATAGCGTTTACAAATGGCTGTATATACAGTATACTGGTATTTTTTTCAATTTATTTTTACTAGTAATGGCGGCGATCAGCAAATTATAGCGGGACGGTGGCGGGCATTCTGACAATGGGGGGAACTGACTTGGTGTCACTGACATCCCCAGTGACACCAATACAGTAGTCAGTGCTAATAAAAAGCACTGAAACTGTACTAATGGCTCTGGGCAGGAAGGGGTTAACATCTTGGGTGATAAAAGGGTTAACTGTGTGCTGTTTTACTTGGGGCTGTGTGTTAGTGCTTCACTGTAATCACACTGCTTTGCACGGTTGTGCTGTGCAGAGCCATGCAAAGCAGTGTGCATGAGCTGACAGGGAGGAGAACGGTTTTGTTTACAAACAGTTCTCCCCCCCCCCCACCGTCGGAGATGCTTGGCAATCACTGGGAACTGGCGAGCGATCACCGGCCGGGACCTGCGCACCCCCTACCTGGAATTTCAATATCACGTATATATACGTGGTGTTGCGCACCCGTGGTGCCCTGTAGCAGTATACAGTAGGCTTTACCCAAAAGGGGAAGTTCTGTTTGTTTGTATCCTCCACGACCACATTTGGCACTTTTTTTTGGGGGGAAGGGGAGGGCGGGTTCCTGGTTGTGACAGGTACTCGCTTCCACTTCCAATCAGATGCGCTGTGGCTATCTGAGCCAGTTGTTCGTCCCCACTCCTTCCCCCCAGCCTTCTAGGACACTTCACAGGTCCCGGAAGACTGCAAAACCATTCACAAAGCGCAGCTTGCTTCACGCATGCGCAATAGGAAACAAGACTTCACTGCCAGGTTCCCTTACTGTAGATGCCTGCCCTTGAACCTAAAGGCAACTGAAGAATCAGCATGGGCGAGGGCATCGCTGGATCCTTGGACAGGTAAGTGTCCCTAAATTAAAAATCAGCAGCTACAGGATTTGTAGGTGCTGACTTTTAATTTTTTGGGGTGAGCCTGGAGCTCAGCTTTAATTGAAAAATTACATGGCAACACCGAAAGGGTAAAGCCAGTACGTCCATCTCCTAAACATTAAACAAGCCAGGAGATAACTGAACTGACCCATGTCCATAGAATTCTGCTTTCAGCTTACTTTTGAAAGTTTTTAACAGCACTCCATGTAATTACTATATGAGTAAATGCTAGGTTGTCATTGATGATTCAAGCCAATTCCTTTTCTGTCTTTCCGGTTTTTCTGATATTTCTGGGCAACAGTACTACATGATGGCTTTCCTTGTGTCATTTAGATTTACCAATATGTGAAAACACAGTTGTTAGAAAACATGTCCTTTGTATCAACAAATGTTTTTAAATTGCACTGCAGACATTTACATTATATCTGAATTTATTTTACTTAAAGGCTACAAAAGCAGAGATCCAAAGGAGCACAGGGTTAAATACGTGGGTTACCAACCAAGTAGTATCATATCTCAGATCTTCTGTGTGATAGCTCTATCATAATGCAATGACACCTGACACGATTATTATTGTATCATCCAAAGTACAACCAGTGCAATGCAAAACATTTTATTTTCTAACTACATCAATGCAAACGGAGAGAAAGAAAGTGGTAAACAGTCATCCCTGGGGTAATATTTTGTCATTTATTTAATAGACTGATTTGTATTTTCTAAAATAATAGTATATGCCTGCTCAAAAGGATCTTAACAGACTTTAGTCCAGTATGGAATCTGTTTCAGTGTTTTCATGAATGTGCTGTTTCATTTCAAAATCTCGGTTTGCATTAAAACATTTTTTTTTACTTGACTAATAAATTAAATTTTATGTTGGCCAACATTTTAAAGAGATATGATCTTTTTGCTCTTAACTATTTTTTTGGTAATTATTTAATATTGGTATGAAGTGAAAATGAGAACTAACGATGTAATTATGCCATAGCAGTAAAATCTACGCTGTCATCTTTATCTACACTCTGAATCTGAAATGAGTATGCTTATGTTTATTATGTGTTTTTATACAGAACAAAATGAATGCTACTTTTGTTGTTTCTTGCTACAGGCCAGCTACTGTTTACTCTTACTTTGGAAAGATGCAAGTTGGGCTTTGGAATTTACCTACTGGTTTAGCAGCATTTCAGGATGACTAATAAATATAGGATGTATACTGTTTCTTTGACCTGTTACATTATTGTTTGAAGAGTTAATGATATGCTAATAGTGTTTGCACAGGTACAATTTTCTTCCTTTTTAAGTGTACAGAGTGAGTGTCAAACTTGTCTTGAGAGCTGCCTACAATTTAAACCAATCCTTCTTAGCAAATTAAAGCACAGGTCCCAACCCACATACCAAGATGAAATACAGGATTTGCTAAGAATGTGAGTTCATTAAAACCACAAGTAACCCAGCAAAGACCTACTGAAGATGAAAAATCCAATGTTGTCTGTTTTGTCATTTCTTTTAGACAAGATATTTATTTTTATAAAGCTAAAATCCAATTGTACCTCAGTAACTGATAGAAATGGCAACAAATATGAGACTTCCTTGTTCGCGAGGGGTGACCTTCTGGAAGTTCCGAGAACGCTTTTTGTTCATTTTGGAATCTATCTTGGAGACAACCGAGTTGCACATTTGATACCTGATATTCTTCCAGTAATATCGCACAACAAAACTTCTGTCAAGAAGGTGGTAACCAACAAGAGGCTGATTGCAGGGGTGCTAGCTAAAGTGGCAAGTGTCAGAGTGGACATCGTACAGGACTTTGCCTATGGTGGAGATATTATTATTAATCACATGGATCAGAGCATCAGCAACAAACCTCTTTCTGGTGAAGAAGTGGCCCAAAGGGCTGAGAAACTGGTGGGGACCACATCCTACAGCCTGCTGTGGAACAACTGTGAGCACTTTGTAACCTACTGTAGATATGGCATCCCAGTGAGCTTGCAGACAGATAAGGTAAATAGTTAAAAAAAAAAACAATTCAGAGACCAAAAAAATAAATGCATGCAGATGTACCACCTGTTGTGTGTGTGTGTGTGTGTGTGTGTGTGTGTGTGTGTCCATGCAAGCAGAGGCTAATATACATGTAATTGCTGAGCATGGGGGGGTCAAAATCTTTAAAACCTTATAGCAAGGTATAGTCTTGAAATACATCATTTCCATTTTATTTTATTGTACGTTAGCCCTTTTATTTATCTGTGGTTTGCTTTTGTATTGGTCAGTGTTTTCACCAAAATAATCTTCACTGCACTTTTACAATTTAGCTTCCTCTACACTTTCATTTTCCCATACTCTTTCCCATTCAGTTTACTTTTTACATTATTAAAATGGCTGATTTATTAATAAAAGAAAAGCTTCAATGATAAAACCCATAGTATAATAAACAAATTAGACATGATAAAAATGAAATCCTATTGTCACTGCTTTTTTTTTTATAAAAATGCTTATCACTAGTTCAAAGCTATAACATTAACATTCAGAATTCACAATTTGCTCTTTATCCTAACTTACTAAACACCACAAAAAGTAATAAAAATTTGGTGTGAATATTAGTAAAATTAGGTATACTGTATCTGTTCAAGTGTCTACTTGTCCTAAATCTGTATATGTCTACTTTAACTTGGTTTTCCTTTTAAAAATATACTTACAGTTACTGGATGCAACTATGAATTTTAAAATACCTAGAAATATGAACTTGCAAGTGACCTGTGGATCCAGGCAGTCAATGCATTAAAAAAATCTAATTTTAGGGAATTTTACAAGTATTTTAAATTTGTTTGGCAGCTATAGGATGGGTATAGATGGGCTTTCATTGACTGCCCACACTATGTCTGTATCTAGGTATGGCTGGACAAAGATTGTACATTCAGATTTTAACAGATATAGCCAGCTTTACTGCTAGTTCCTAACTTCTGTGAATCATTTCTACCCTATTGCTATCCATAAAAGCACTTTTCTAACATCATGTCCCACTAATAAATCTGGAATTCAGAATAGAAATCAGCAATACAGAATAAAAGTATTTTATTAAAAAAAACTGTTACAAAAGTCTAAGGAGCATCATCTGATATGCGAGTACTGATTAGTATGTTCTGGCAATCCCTGCCAGAGCACACTAATCAGCACTCACAGATCAGATGATGCTCCTTAGCCTTTTTTTGACAGGGAAGGGGGTGTCCCCTCTCAAAACACAAAGGCAAAACTGAATGTGTGTACCAGGCTTAACACATTTTACCAACAACTATATTCTATTGGCAAACGTTTGTAGACACCTGTTGGATTCCAAAATCATGTAATTAATATGGATATGCCCCCTTTTGTGCTTTAAAAGCCCCACTCTTCTTGGAAGGTTTTCCACAAGATTTAGAAGTATCTGTTAGAATTTGTGCCCATTTAGCCCATTGTGCCCATTTAGCCAAAAGAGCATTTGTGAGGTCAAATTCTCATGTTGAATAAGGAGATCCCGTTCACATTTCACATTCCAATATGTCCCAAAGGTTTTCAGTAGCGCTCAGGTCAGGGCTCTGGACAAGCTGCCCAAGTTCCTTTACACCAAATGTGTTAAAGGATAAGTTCAACTTTTGCTAACAAATAATAATTGCACATTTTTGTTGCAGGAGCCTGTAAACCATTGCATCAGTGATCAGCAGATAGCTGGTGCCATGCACGTCTACTGCAGACCTGTCAGAATATCTGCTTGCCCATACAGGATGTATGGGCAAGCACATATACTGACAGGAAAACTACAAGCCGACAGCCACTAAGGCTGTTGGGACTTGTAGTTTCTCATTTACAGACTACTGTGAATAAGTGGTGCAGTCAGACAAGCTAGCAGTCAAAGCAGGGGAAAGGGGTGGGGGCGGGCTATTCATGAAATTTTACTTGTTACACCCTAAATATGGGTGTAACATGTAACATGTTATAAAAGGTGAGCTTGTGACTTTATGGATCTGGTTTTGTGTACAGAGGGAAAAGTCCTGCTGAAACAGACAAGACCCGTTCCCAAACTGTTGCCACTAGACTGGAAGTGCACAGTTGTCTTTCTATGCTCTAACATTAACGGTACCCTTCCTAGAAACTCTGCTACTAAAAAATATAGAAGTGGTGGCCACAATCTTTGGCTATGTAGTGTATGTGATGTAAGGATTTACCTAATCAATGCATTCAAATCATATCCAATCAGAGAAACCTTCACACTGCATAATAGTGGGTAGATTTTGTCTACATGATAGATCTAATTCCAAGCCATATACCATGCAAACCAATTGTACAATTTCTGTACAATCTCCTGTAGGTTTGCCAAAAGTTTGTAATAATAGGACCAGGGGCGGACTGACAACTCGTGGGGCCCCAGGCAATAGGGGATCATGGGCCCCTGTGTCCTTGCCCAAACTCGAAAAAGCCTATGAAAAAGGTACTAGGGGCATCTCATGGGGCCCCCTACTGACCCCGGGCCCTCGGGCAGTGCCCGAGTTTCCAAATGGTCAGTCCGCCCCTGAATAGGACAAACCTAATCAATTCAATTAATATCAAATCAGGCAGACCCTTGTACTACATAGCTATTGGTATTTAAAGCAGAACATATGATCAGATTACATAGTGTATGAGCATGCGCCTTACTATGTACAGATAGTTTTAGATCTACTATTCCAGGCAGAGCTTTTTGGGATAAACATTGGTCTATTGTCTGAAAAAAAAAATTTAAAAAGGGGAAAAAATCAATGGATTGGCTTTGATTACATTTTAAAACTGATTATAATAAAAATAACACAAAGGAGCTAAACATAGCTTTAAATATTTTATGACTGTTGGCCATGAACACATAAATATTGTGCACGTGATCTACTATTAGATACAATCATTTTAATTACTTGGATGTCCCAAACTATTATTGAAATCATCACACCAATGGCATGTGCCTTCATCAGTCTTATCTCCTTCAATGAGAATCATTTTTGAAAAAAGAGTAAACAATTTAAAAGTGGTCATTTTAAAATAAATTGATTTCTCCATAATTGGCTTGAATTTTTTAACTCATTTGATCACTTTCATCTAGAATTTAGACTTCATGCACACAGGGCATTTTTGCAGTCACTTTTATGGGTGTCAAGCTTTTTTTTTTTTTACTGCTTCCAATCCCAGAACCTAATATGGTGCTCTACAAACTGCTTTATTTGGAGATATGAAAATAGCTCTGCCATTGGTAGTTGGAGAGAGAAGAAAGACCTGACCGTAATATTAATGATGAGCTTAGTGATCTGGGTCATGCCTACCATAACCAATCAATGTCTGAAAACTAGAGACGGATTGGAAAGCTGAAGGGAACACCAGGCTGCTGAGAAAGGATATGAGCAGTTTACCCAATGATTGTAGACCTCCTGGAATATTTATGGGCTTTGCATACCTTGAATGTATATGTTTTTATATCCTTCAAAATATGTAACAGCAAACAAATTTAAAAAAAAAATCTTCCAAGCAAACTTTACAAATTCCCACTACAAATAAAAATAGCTAAACCCTTTTTCTACTGCTCCTTGCACATAATGTTTTTTTGTTAGATATCCCTCTGCTTACTTGACAATCACGTTCACAACTTTCGACGTGTATGCCACCAGTAGTACCAGACTGGGTAATGGCTGTACTGACTGTGGTCCAGAGAACTACAAGAGGTAGAACTATAATATGCCTGTGTGCTCACTTCTGGGTTGTGTGAGGCTAAGGGGTTTATTTACTAAAGCTAGAGAGTGCAAAACCAGGTTCACGTCTGCATACAAACCAATCAGCTTTTAACCTCAGCTTGTTCAATTAGGCTTTGGCAATAAAACTTGGAAGCTGATTGGTTTCTATTCAGAAGCGAGTCTGATTTCCATTCTCCAGCTTTAATAAATAAAGCCCTAAGTGTCATTCAACTATGAAGTTTAGTGGCAGCTATTAGATTCAGCAAACTTTAAGAAGGTTACGTGAATAAAAAATGGAACATGGAGCTGAGCTTTAAAATGTGCATTCACTGTTCATAAACTTTGGTTTCCTTTTGATATTTTTTATATGGACAGTATTTTGTATGTGCACATCAAATAAACACCTTATTTTCTCTATACGCCAGAGTGTGCTGCACTGAATGTGTTCATGGAGGAACAAAGGATCCTTGCTGTAGTTGGCTATCCAGGATAACTAATTGTATGTCCTATTGGTGGATGCATAATGAAAAAGAAACGTAAACATTAAACAATTTCCCTAAACACTTCATGGCTGGATATTTATCCTTACACAATTTAAATGTAAAAGCCTTCACGCTGTGAGGTTGGCTTACTAAAGTGAATGGAATTGAAGTAATCCTATGTTTGTTTCATCCAATCATATGCAGAAGTTGTTTTTTTAGATTCCTCTGCATGTGATTTGATGTGGGAAGAGGACACGGGGTCACTTCACTTTAAATCCCCTGCAGGCAATGCGGAAGATACACTGTCATAGGGTGGATATACAGTATATGGTCTGATATTTGCAGACACTACACTCAGCTGGAGTAATGTAACGACTATGTAATGCTACATTGTAATAATGGGCAATTCTGATGTTCATCATTATTTTACAAAGAAGTTACATTTTTTGGGTAATGGTTCTTCACATTTCTCTCTAAAAGAAAAAAAAAAACAAGTGATCTTTCACCATGTATACACTGCAATAATAAGTTTGCCAAATTGCAGGCAAATGTTGCAGGAGGATGCAGTATTGTGCACAAGGACATGGTTCACTCACTGGTGTTTTCGGTGACAAATCTACCCATGTTGCAGCCCCAGGAATGATATGCTTGTTCTAGGTCTGTGACTCACAAGGGAAGGGAAAGGATGACACCCATGGATCTTATACCTTTAGTCCTCATGCACACTAGACGTTTTTACAGCTTTTGGCTTTTTGAATTTTTTTCTACAGCCATTAGACTCCCCAGCATGTTATCC